CCCCCCCCCCCCCCCAAAAAAAAAAACTGTATCATTATTTTAATTTCAACTAGTTGCCAAGACTTGAAGTACTAAACCAAAACTAAATTAAGACTACTAAAAAAAATAAAACAATATAGACATGTTTAAGAAAATAACAAAAACGCACCACATAGTTACTAAAAATTCAAATAAAGTTGAAGTGAAAACAGAAAATATAAAAATATCAACAAAAACTATGATACTAAAATAGCATTGGTTTAGTTTTTTTATTTTATATTTGATTTAGTTTATTTAGTTTATTTTTTATTTTTTATTAATTTCACTTTTTGAATGTTTGCTTACAGATTTGGTGACATTTTCATGTCAAATAAATGTTTTCGTGTAAAATTATATGCCTTGATAGTCCGACTGCAATTAAATACAATGGCTGACATAATAAAACATAACAAAATATTTGCAAAATAAAAAACAATTTCACCAAAACACTAAGACTACAACAAAAGCATTTTACGTCACCCTGTGTCTGTCAACTCTCTTGACATCCTCAGGCTCAGCAGATGACCATGCAGGCGATGGCTATGGTGACCAGTCCAGTGTCCAGTCCACCAATGTCTCCCCTCACCAGCCCCCCAACCAGCCCTCCACCCACTCCCTACAGCACTCTGCCGCCTAGTCCGTACCCCGCCATCCCTCCCAGCCCCTACGCTAACCTCCCCCCCAGCCCTTACGCCCCACCTCCCCTTTCCATGTACACAAGCCCCCCGGCGACCATCCACCCCACCATCCTCTCCACCTCAATCAACACCACCCCCAGCACCATAGACGAGCAACAGAAGCCCCTGGAGAAGAAGAGCAGCCCCCCAAAACCACAGCCACGGAGTACCACCACCACAAAGGTGCCCAAGTATTGATATAATCTAATAGTTTATACTGTAAATCTAGTTTATGCTTGACCTTGTGTACTAGCAATGTTGTTGACTCTTTTGACAAATTGCTTATGGTGTTCCTTATTGATTTATCACATGACATGTATTAATTGATTATTGATTGTAATGAAATGTTAATGAATGTAAATAACATTCCAAGGTCAGTAATATACTGTATAAGCATTAAATTGATAAAAAGTGACATAAAAATGTATATGTCAAATAAACGCTGTTCTTTTGAACTTTCAGTTGAAAGAATTTGGGGGAGGGGGGGCGGGGGTAAATAAATCAAGTTTTCCACAAACATATTAAGCAGCGAAACTGTTTTCAACATTAATAATAATAAAAAGAAATTAGAATGATTTCTAAAAGATCATGTGACACTGAAGACTGGATTAATGATGCTGAAAATTCAGCTTTACCATCAAAGGGATCAATTACATTTTAAAAATATATTAAAATTGAAAGCAGCTATTTTAAATTGCAAAAATATTTCACAATATTCACAATAAACAGCACTGATGAACATAAGAGAACTTTTTCCAAAAAAAATCTTAAAACAGTAGTTTATAAACGTACAATAGTGTAAAATCAGTTTGTGCAATTAAATGTTGTATGTCGTGTTGTATATTAGAAGGCTGATGAATTTGTTTGCTTTTATTAATTCTTATAAATATACTATCATGTTCATATTAGTCTGCAACTAAAGTGCTTCTAATGGCTTTTTATGCACTTATATTTATTCAGTCTGTGCATCTGTTTAACTGCTGAGTATGTTTTAATATAAAAACAGCTTTGTGTTTTGCTTTGATGATGATTTATTACCTTTGGCTAAATTAATTTCAGGCTGTTTCATCTAATGGGACATTAGGGAAGAAACAAGCCCCCGCTGCACCAATTCAACTTGACAGCAGGCCTGCCAAAAAACATGGTGTGTCATTGCATTCAATCATATATCTGTGTGTTCAAGACTAACATGTCCAACAATTGAAACATATGCATTTTATGTAACTTCTGCATATTCCAACCCTTTTTTCTTTCTCTCTCAGCTCCTGTTGCCATCACGGGTCCCATGCATAAGGCTCCGGCTCCTGGCACAGAGGTGGTGAAATATTCGGTCTCCAACTCTGAGCACATCGTTCCCAGCCACAACATTAAAGATATCATTAAGCAATATCAAACACCGCCCCCAGAACATGTGCCGCAGACACAGAGGTGTGTTACCTGTGTATACTATCTGTGCCAATGTTTCATTTTATTTCCATTCTTATTATTAACTCCAGTGGCATGTGTTTGATGGCAGGCGAGAAGGTAAAGCTTTTGTGAAGAAGAATAACCCACATGATGAGGCAATGCAGATCCTAAAAACACAGAGGGACAATCCACCTCCTCCACAGGTATGTGTACCTCTATCACTTCTGTACTAACCAATTAAACCATTCTTGAGCAATTAAGCATTGCTAGCTACCAATAATTAATAATTTGTCATCGGACATAAAGTTATACTCCACAAGGGGGCGCTTGGTCCAAACTCTCCATAGAGCCATATTTAAATCTCAGCATGTTTTTGTCTTGTTTAAAACAAACTATACATTTATTTAAATGTATTAATTACAAGGACTTAATGTCAACATTAAATTAAAATAGGCCTTTATACACATTCCTGGTCGTATTGTGCACAAAATGTTTGTCTTCGCAAACTTTTATTAAATCTTTTTTCTTGCTGTGTGTGTAGAGAAAGGCTCCCACTTCAGCTGCTGTGTCAAGAGATCGAGGTCTCAAACCAACTAAAAGCAGCAAGAAGAAAGCACCAGAGCCACCACTGACTTTACCTCCACCGGGTAAACAACACACAGACACACATAACTTACAAAAACACCATGGTATTATATGATGTATTTTTTAAAGACTACCATGGTGAAGTACCTTACTATTGTAAATACTATTGTAACTATGATACAGTGCCATGGTATATATATCAGAGTATCATAGTATAACCATTTGATACCATCACTGTAACTCCGTAACATTACTTTTTGTAAGAGATAAACTACTGTTCAGAAGTTTGGGGTCAATAAGAAATAAATACTTTTATTCAGCAAGGATATTTCAAAGAAATGTGTTTCTTTTGAACTTTCTGTTAATTAAAGAATCCTAAAAAATAAAAAATGTCACAGTTTCCACGTAAGTATTAAGCAGTGCAACTGATTTTCAGCATTGATAATAAAATCATCATATTCAAATGATTTCTGAAGGATCATGTGACACTGAAGACTGAACTGAACTTTCCCATCACAGGAATAAACTACATTTTAAACTATATTCAAAATAGAGAACAGTTATTTTAAATTGTAAATTAGGTCACAATTTTACAGTTTTTACTTCATTTTTGATCAAATGAATGCAGCCTTGGTGAGCATAAGAGATGCAGACTCCAAACTATTGGACAGTAGCCTACATATATAATGCATTTGTCCTCAACCATCTTTCTTTCTCCATCTCTCTCACACACCAGTGTCCAGAGATCTTCCAGTGGAATCTGAGAGCATCCAAACACAGCTGCACAGGAGCAGCACAGAGGAGCATTACCCCTACACAAACGTTCCCTGGAAGATATACCTCAGGAAGGAGGTGTGTCCAATGTATCATTTGTTTATGAGTGTGTACTTCGTCATTTTGTGGATCATCATGAACACAGCACAGGTTAAGAACTAACGCTGCTGTACAAATTGCTGTAGGTCTTCTATCCTAAAGACACTTGGAATCATCCTCTAGTGCTGGACCTCATATTCAAACAGGTGAGTGCTAAATAAACTCCAGTACTGAATAAAACTAAAATAGAATTTGAAATATTTTTGTTATACTGTATATAAAAAAATATTTCATAATATATAATACTGTATTTTGTGGTCTCAATTTTTTTTTTACTGTTTTTGAAAGAAGTCTCTTATGCTCAGGGTGCAATTATATTATAATAAAAACAGTAATGTTGTGAAATATTATTACAACTTATAATATTAATATTATTAACGTTTTTATATTTAAACATGTTTTAAAATGTAATTTATTCCTGTGAGGCAAAGCTGAATTTTCAGCATCATTGCTCCAGTCTTCAGTATCACATGATCCTTCAGAAATCATTCTTAAAAGATTATTTGCTGCTCAAGAAACATTTCTTATTATCAATATTGAAACTGGTTGTGGTGTTCTTTTTTTCAGGATTCTTTGATTAATAGAATGTTCAAAAGAACAGCATTTTTTGTAAATAGAAATATTACAAGTCACTTTTGATTAATTTTTATGGATCCTTGCTAAATAAGTATTAATTTTATTAAGTATGAAAGTATCTTGCCTTCATTCTTCATTCCGTAAATGTATCATTTAATTCTTGTATTTAAATTGTGTTTTTCAGATTGTTAATGACACATTTACAGAAGCCTGTGTGCGCATTACTAAAGAGGAGAGGCAGAAGATGAAATCCTTGTTTGGTGAATTAAATTTCTGCTCAGTGTGAAATTATTTTCCAAGAGAACTTGTTCAGTTTACTGTTTACGATGACTACACTGATCTGTTATTACGGTACATGTGTTTCTTTCATAGCACAATATGGCATCGAGCCGAACACAGATGTTCAAGATGAAAGTGTGAAGAAAGCTGTGATTACAGCTGCCAGGGAGTCATGGGAGATTTATTTTTCTCGCCTTTTTCCTGCCTCTGTGAGTTCTGTTTCCCGGCAGACTGTTCGTGTGAATGCAATAGGCTGATATGTCACCAGTGTGTGTGTTTGCAGGGCAGTGTGGGTACTGGAGTGCAGGTGTTGGCAGTGTCTCACTCTGGTATCAAACTTCTCAAGACAGTAAAAAGCAGCACTGCAGCACCAGACTACTTTCGAGTGCTCCGTCCGTACAGGTGTGTCATCCCAGTCCAGTTAACCATCTGTCAGCAGCAGTACACCTTCTAAAGCATCTAAACTCTCATGCTCTCCCACAGCTACGCAGACATCCTGTTTGTGACCATCCCCTCTCAAAACATGCTGGAGTTTAATCTGATGAATGAGAAATTGATTCTGTTCTCGGCCAAAGCACCTCAGATCAAACATATGATTGATCTCTTCATCTCTCATCTTAAGAAGGTTCGGAAAGGGCTTTGAATTCTCTTGCCATCATTTCTTAAGGAGCCTTCACACTGTCAAAGGCTCTGATTTTAAACATGCAATGCCATACATTTGACTTCTTCCGCAGGATTCTGAGTATGTTGTAGCAGAGAGAAACTTCATCACAGAGGACAGAGCTCTTCTCAGCTTCCATAAAGGAGATATCATTCGTCTGCAGGCCATGGATGGGTTAGAGGAGGGTGAGAAGTGGTGCACTCGCATGCACACATTAAAATCTATAGATCTTTCCCACAGTCAGTGATGTCATGCATGAAAGTTTGTAGTGGGGGAAATATTGACACCTAAATACAAGACATTGTTGAGTCCAACTAGTCCCAGAGTTTAAGTGCACTAAAATTAAAAAGTTTGGGGTCAGTATGTTTTTTACAGTAATTCATATTTTAATTAGCAAGGATGCATTAAATTGATTAAAAGTAACAGTAAAGACATTTACAGTGTTACAAATACTTTCTATTCTTCGAATCCTGAAAAAAATGTATCACGGTTTCCACAAACATATTAAGCAGCTCAACAGGTTTCAACATTAATAATAATTCATAAAAAACAGCAAATCAGCATATTAGTATGATTTCTGATGGATCATGTGACTGAAGACTGTAGTAATAATGCTGAAAATTCAGCTTTGCCATTACAGGAATAAGTTATATTTAAAAAATGTGAAAATAGAAAATAGTTATTTAAAATTGCAATTTTTTATCAAATCAATTCAGCCTTGGTGAGCCTTCTGTATACAGTGATTTTGTTTAATTGTAAGTCAGTAAACGAAATTACTCTGCAGGAAAATCTCTAGAATGGAGCTCATAATATTTGCATTCCATCAGATGAGCTGCAGTTAACCTTGGGAAGGCTTATCCTTGATACTCCAGGAAATCTGTGAGGGGGGCCGTACAGTGCATGATCACAGCCATACATAAACCGCTGTGTATGCATTTTAGAGGAAGAACTGCGACATTTTCATGGTGTGCATGTGTGTTTGTTTTTCAGGTCAGAGTTACGGCTGCGTGGTGAAGAAAAAGGTCATTTACCTCGAGGAGCTGAAGAGAGGCACACCAGATTTTGGTTTGGCATTTAACATACAACATTTTTTTTATTGTTTTGTTTATAGGATGCTTTAAATTGTGGAAGTACACTTGAAAGAAGAGATATTTCGTAATTTAATGAAATGAGATATTTATTAAATCCATGCATTTATTTTTTTATGTTAATAAAAAGCGAAATACAGAAATAATAAGCTGTTTTTCAATTTTCAATCAGAAATTGCAAGTCAATTTCACAAAATATTACTAAGAAACATTTAATTGTGTAATAAGTCTGACATTTTTAATTAGAAAGACTGATTAGATAGTATTTCCTTCCAATAATCTTTAAAAAAAAAAATGACAGTGTAAGCAGGACAAATCATCAGTTGTGAATGTTTTTCCAGGCTGGAGGTACGGGGCAGTGCAGGGTCGGAGTGGAGCATTCCCTATGGATTGTGTGGTTCCTGTAGCTGCTCCTGATTTCCTGAGTCTCCCAGCAGAGAGAAGAGACGAGCCGAGAGACAGACAGGGCCGAGTGGCAGCATCAGGAGCTATCGCTCTCGCTGTGGCCTCCACTGCGGCTGCACATGAGCTGGACCCATCACTAGAGGTATTCCATATATTCACTATATCTCTGTGACAAGGTGTTTGATGGCTGATATAATGTCAATACATTATGTCACGTTATATAATGATTGCAAATGTGGTGACAATAAAAGTGCTGAAATTAAACCTTTATTAATTAAAGATTGTGAATTTTCTGTTTCAAGACATATACTGTATATTACTAATATTAGATACTTGTTAATGTGTCTGTTTTATGATTGTTAGTCTGATGGATTCGGGGATTTCGGGGACTCTGAAGCTGAGGGGAATATTCTTTTGGACAGCCAGTACAACATGGTGGAGTTTGCCAGGAAACATTTCAGAACGTCAGATGGAAGCAAGAGGTAAAATTTATGTTAACTACTATTATTATACAAAAAAAATCCTTTTTCATTCATTCATTTATTCATCCTTTTTTTTCAAAATCTGACAGTCAAACACAGGACTAAATCTAAATGTTGCAATTTTTTATGTGACTAGTGATTCGTTCAGAGATAAGTCCAAAAAAGGTAAAGGAAATAAAGACCCTGCAGAGATGGTGAAATTCAGCAAGGTACTGTGCCCACTATGCATACATAAACATATTAATACATGCATATACATATGCACTTACACGTCTTTTCAAAGATTTGGGGGGGGGGGTTCTCAAGAAATTAGTAATTATATTTAGCAGAAAAGTGACAATAAAGACATTTACAGTGTTACAAAAGATTTCTATTTCGAATAAATGCTGTTCTTTTGAATTTTCTGTTCATTAATAAAGCTTGAAAAAATTTATCAGGTTTTTCACAAAAATATTAAACAGCAAAAACTATTCTAAGTTATTTTAAATTGTGGTAGTATTTCAAAACATTTCTGTTTTTACTGTATTTTTAATTAGTGAGCATATGTATACATATACATATGCATAGAAAATACACATAAACACCCATATAAAACTTTTGGTCTCTTGTTTTCTCCAGAACCCTATCCTAGAGTCACTCATAGACTTCACTGACCCCAACATGAACCGGGTTGCTTCTGAAATTTTCCTAGGTGAGATAAGAGATATATCACAGCCACTCCATCTGCTTTATTATTGTTTATTATTTTTTTTGTTATGCATCATATCTCAACATTTCTTTGTTTTTGTTTTGGGTGTAGCCATAATGAAGTTCATGGGAGATCATCCTCTCAGGGGCCAATCGGAGCAGTTTGTGATTTGCACCTTCCTGAAGGTAAAGCACAACCTCTCATCCATGTGACCAGCTTGTACTGTTGTCATAATGCACATAGACCCCCAGTTGTGTTTATTTATTCATTTTACCTTTGGCTATAATTTTACTAAAATACATCATTGTTTTTGTAGTTAACGGGGGAATATGGACTGATGAAGGATGAGGCGTACTGTCAAGTCCTCAAACAGATTACAGCCAATACCAGCTCTAAACCGTGAGATACACACTTCTTCTTTTTTTTGCTTGTTTGATAGGACTCTGTGTTAAGCTGTGAGTGTTTGATTGTGTTGTGTTGCAGTGACAGCTGTCAGAAGGGCTGGCGGTTACTCTACATTCTGACAGCATTTTACCGCTGCTCTGAAGTCCTCAAACCGTTCTTACTCAAGTTCCTACGAGACGTCTGCAGAAGCCCAGAAGTGCTTTTTCATGGTAATTATACACCACATGTACACATTTAACATAACGAGTGTGCGCTTAGAATAAACAGACGATATCGTTCGCTGGTGTGGACGCTAATATTGTTATCTTTATAGTTATCGTTCTTGGTGTGAATGGGGCTTTAGTCTCCTAATTAAAGCAGTATTTTTATGAGGCACAATGATCTAATATTATTTAATGTGTGATCTACAGGAATTGCTAAAGCTTGTGAGCAGAACCTGAGAAAGACCTTTCAGTTCGGTGGCAGGAGTGTTTACCCCAGTAGTATGGAGCTCAAAGCCATAATGGTCAATAAATATACATGAACACAAGACCATACATACCTCCACACCCCTGTTACACATATTCACACAAACAACTTACTTTTCAAAAATTTGGGGTCCATGTGATTTCATGCAGTTTGAAGAAATTATCTCAACTTTCTATTGATCGAAGAACCCTAAAAAAATGTATCATGGTTTCCACAAAAACATTAAGGAGCAAAACTATTTTCAACATTGATAATAATAAGAAATATTTCTTGAGCTGTATATCAGCATATTAGAATGATTTCTAAAGGATTATGTGACTATAGTCTGGAGTAATGATGCTGAAAATTCCGCTTTGCATCACAAGAACACATCTGAACATTTATTAATATAGAAAAGTTCTTATAAATTGTAATAATATTTCATATTATTACTCTTTTCACTCTATCTGCCTTGGAAATTTCTTTCAAAAACATTTTTAAAAAATCATACCAACCTCAGACTTTTCAAAAGTAGTGTATGGGATATAAATGACAGTCTAATTATGTTTCATGTATGTGTTTTCAGGCTGGTCGAAGCTCAAAGCGACAGCTGTTTCTATTTCCTGGAGGAATTGAGAGACATTTGAAGATCAAAACCTGCTCGGTATGTCTCTTTTCTTGTGTGGCCGTTTCTGTCTTGTATTGCATGAGATTATATTGGTAAGTTGAGATAGAAGTTGAAGTTGCTTTGTGTACAGGTTGCACTGGATGTCATAGAGGAGTTGTGTTATGAGATGGCGTTACAAAGGCTGGAGGCAATGGATGAGTACACAATCTTCATAGTGATCAACAGAGGTACTTTATATTAACTCTAAAGATAACAATAACAATAACTACACTGCCAGTCAAAAGTTTTTGAACAGTACGATTTTTAATGGTTTTGAAAGAAGTCTCTTCTGCTCACCAAGCCTGCATTTATTTGATCCAAAGTACAGCAAAAACAGTAAAATTTTCTAATATTTGTACTATTTAAAATAACTGTTTTCTATTTGAATATATTTTAAAATGTAATTTATTCCTATGATTCAAAGCTGATTTTTTTAGCATCATTACTCCAGTCACATGATCCTTCAGAAATCATTCTAATATTCTGATTTGCTCCTCAAAAAATTACATTATTATGTTGAAAGTAGTAGAATTTTCTCAGGTGTATTTGATGAATAGAAGAACAGCATTTATCTTAAATAGAAGACTTTTGTAACATTATAAATGTATTTATCATCACTTTTGATCAACTTAAAGCATCCTTGCTAAATAAAAGTATTCATTTCTATAACCCCCCCCCCCCCCAAAAAAATTATACTGACTCTAAGCTTTTGAGTGGGATAGTGTATAATGTTACAAAAGCTTTTTATAATGTTACAAACGCTTTTGTCTGGTAGTGTATACTGTATTAGCATCAACGCCAATGCATGATAATGTTCTGTTCATTATAAGCATGCACTGCAGTTTTGTCGTCTGCCACTTTAATGCTCACACTCTTTAAAGCAGCATAGATTCTGACTGGCTGTCAGTGTTTTTATTATTCATCATTGTCATAGCTCTGTGAATGGGCCTTAAGGCTATGTTCGGAAAGGAATACTAGCAAACTGTACACTAAATAATGCAAAAAAAGGGTAAGCACAGCATACAAAAAAAGTTTCAAAAAGTAGTATTCTTTATTGTTTCATGACCTCATATTGCATGTTTAATTCAGCGATTGTTAACTTTTATCAGACCAAATAATGAGTCAAAAAGGACACACTAAAAAGTTAAGCTGCTTTTACATCTGGTTTATTAGTCACACTAGAAATGAACGATCAAGTCAAGAGCACTGCATTATGTGCTATATTTGTTTTAGCAAAACGTAGGATAAGTAGGTCATACATTTTGTACTTTTCACAATATGAATAAATAAAGATAAAATAAAAAGCTTCAAGAACAACATTCCGAACATACCCCACCAGATTTATTCACTCATATTTTTGGTGATGTCATCCAGGTCAGAATGTGCGGCCCCTCAATAAGAGAGAGTACATATTAGACATCGCAACAGAGGCGGAGCAGATTGATCCCAACTACAGCTTCTGGTTCAGACGAGTCATCTGGGCCCATCCGCTCAAGTTCGACAACGAGCTCTGTGTCACCATGCACTATAACCAGGCAAGACATGTCTGTCCTATCACATGTGTCCTAACCAGATACAATGCACTAAAACATCAAACCAGAAATCATATCTCCTCCATGTTCATACTGATAATATTCAGGTTTCAGTGAGGACAGAATAAACACTTCCTGGAATTGCATCTGTTCAGGACACAATGTTAAGAAAATACATTACATACAGTATGCATTACCATTTGATGTCAGTAATATTTTTAGGTAAGAAATTCGTACTCTTAGTCTTATTCACCAAGGATGCATTAAATTGACAGTGAAGACATTTATAATGCTACAAAGGATTTTTATTTCAAATTTTATTTCAGGATTTCCACAAAAGTATTAAGCAGCACAACTGTTTTCAACATTGATAATAACAAGAAAACTTTCTTGAGCAGCAAATCAGCATATTAGAATGATTTCTAGCGGATCATGTGACACTGAAAACCGGAGTAATGATGCTGAAAATTCAGCTTTGCATCAAAGGAATAAATTACATTTTAAAATGTATTCAAATAGAGAACAGTTCTTTTAAATTGTATTAATATTTCACAATATTACTGTTTTACTGTATTTTTAATCTAATAAATGCAGCCTTGGTGAGTTCAATGTTTGAAAAACATTTTTAAAATCTTACTGACACTAACGTCTGAATGGTAGTGTAAATATAATAATTTACTGGAGCACATTTTGTGTGACAATAATACACACACAATACATAACACAATTATAGCTTAATTAGAATGTATCTAAACCTGTATTGTTCCTTCACAATTGTGTGTTTGTATTTGCACAGGTTCTGCCAGACTACCTGAAGGGTCTGTTGAATGTCGTACCTCAGGGAAAGATCAGTGAACAGCAGTTTAACCAGTTTGCCAAACTTGCTGCTCTTCAACACAGAGCCAAAGACAGTCTCTACACGCCTACTATGTATGTTCCAATTTTAGACATCCTTCATTCTCTATGTACTTTTACATATAAATATAATTTGACCTAATTTACACCCAATGAGTAATATCTGGAAATCAGAATGAGAATCTGAAAAAACTGTGGTGTTTATTACCCCACAGGATAATCAGCACCAATAACTGAAGAAATTTCAGTATCAACTCAAACATTTCTCAAATTCTTCTAAGACTAAGTTATCTGAGATATGTTATTGACATTTTATTGTCAGCAATTTATCTAGTTTACAGTAAAAACAGTAATATTGTGAAATATTATTGCAATTTAAAAAACTGTTTTCTAATTGAATATATTGTAAAATGTTATTTATTTCTGTGATACAAAGCTGAATTTTCAGCATCATTACTCCAGTCTTCAGTGTCACATGATCCTTCAGAAATCATTCTAATATGCTGATTTGTTGCTCAAGAAACTCTTATTATTATTATCAATTTTAAAAACAGTTGAGCTGCCTAATGTTTTTGTGGAAACTGTTATTTTTTTTTTCAGGATTCTTTGATGATTAGAAAGAACAACTTGTATTTTAAACAAAGCTGTTGTAACTATAAATGCCTTTACTGTCGCTTTTAATCGATTTAATACATCTTAGCTGAAAATAAGTATTAACTTCTTTCAAACAAAAATCTTACTGCCCCCAAACTTTAAACAGTAGTTTATTTGGTAACACTTTACTTGAAGGGGTGTGCATAAGACTGACATGACACCTTCATAATCATGACATGACACATGTCATGAATATGAAGGAGGTTTTATGCATGTTTATGACAACTGTCATTAAGTGTAATTCGCTCAGTTATGTCATTTTTAATGCAAATATGACATTATTTGACCTAACCCTACCCCTAACCATAGCCCATAACAAAGACATCTCAAACATGTCATCTTCGTATTAAAAATTACATAACTGAGCGAATGACACTTAATGAAAGTTGTCATAAACATGCATAAAAAACCTTCATATTCATGACATGTATCATGTCATGATTATGTAGGTGTCATGTCATGATTATGAAGGTGTCATGTCAGTCTTATGCACACCCCTTCAAGTAAAGTGTAACCGTTTATTTTCCTGAAGAATTTTTAAAAGTAACATCAGATACAAAGTTGAAATCCTGCCCTATGAAAAAGACAACTCTGGGCACTGTTTTCTTTTGGGATGTTTCTTGTTAAAAAAACTTTTCACATCTATTCAATGTCAGCATACTGTATGTGACCCTGGAGCACAAAACCAGTCAAATTGAGATGTATACATAATCTGAGAGCTGAATAAATAAGCTTTCCATTGATGTATGGTTTGTTAGGATAATAGGATAATATTTGGCCGAGATACAACTTTTTGAAAATCTGAGGGTGCAAATAAATCTAAATATTGAGAAAATTGCCTTTAAAGTTGTCCAAATGAAGTTCCTAGCAATGCATATTACTAATTAAAAATTACGTTTTTATATATCCACAGTCGGAAATGTACAAAATATCTTCATGGAACATGATCTTTACTTATTATCCTAATGATTTTTGGCATAAAAGAAAAATCATTTTGACCCATACAATGTATTGTTGGCTATTGTGACAAATATACCTGTGCTACTTATGACTGGTTTTGTGGTCCAGGGTCCCATATTGACTCAAAAAATGTTCTTTTTCTGTAGTCATGAGTTGACAGAATACATCCCAGTTGAGATCTTTGGCAGACAGGGGCCTCAGCAGTGGATGCAACTGGTTGCACAACATGTACATGCCGTCCAAAGCCTGAACCCTCACCAGACCAGATCCCAGTTCCTGGGTATTTTATTCTCAAACACCCTCATTCACTTTTTACCTTTTTATAATCAGGTATTACCATGATGAAAAGCAAGGTTTGTTGAATTTGTTTTTGTGTGTGTACTTCAGGTTTGGTGTGTGCATTTCCCATGTTTGGATCGTCCTTCTTTTACATCCAAAGCAGCAGCAACAGCACCATCTCTGCACCGTGCATCCTCGCTGTCAATCAGAACGGACTGCACTTCCTGCACAAAGACACTCATGTGCGTATCGCAACCACACAGACTTCTAACGGTAATGCAGGGTTTCTATAGGTCCTAAAAAAGGTCTTGCCCTTCCACAAAATAAGGCCTTAAATTGGAGCAGAAAGTATGAAATTCTTAAAGTCGTGGCATTAAATGTTGCATACATTGCAAAAAACTAGTTTTTGTCTTGTTTCCCAATAAAAGTATCTCAACATTCTTAAATCAAGATACATTTACTTGAGATGGAAAATAAAGACAAAGTTTTCATGTCTTGTTTTTTGAGAAATTTAACAAAATTGAGTTTAGGATTAAAACAAGGATTTATATCCGTCAATGTGGTATAAAAACTTGTTTTCCCTTTGGAGTAAACGGGTTTTTTCTAAACCCACTGACAGATATATGTCCTTTCAAATTTTTTTTTAATCATAAACTTACTTAATTTGGGGGAAATAGTACTGAGGAAGAACTTCACTTTTATGCAGTGTGATTGGAAGGTACAGTAAAAGTTAATTCTATATTTTAGTTAATCTGGGTTTAAAAAGTAATAGAGATTGGTTAGCTAAAAGTTGTACTTTCAAACTTTGAAGTGCTGCTAATACTGCTAATATAACTCCTCAGACATTTACATATAGAGACCATATCGACGTATTGTGTCCCTTTGAAATTCCTTAAATTATCTTCAATAGGTCTTAAAATGATCTTTAACAGTCTTAAATTGACCTTCATCAAACCTGCAGAAGCCCTGTAATGTTTTCAGTTTTCCAAATTGATTTTCTGATGGCAGGAGGTGCAGGTGAAGTTCCAGCTGAAGCTGATTCAGTCGGCTCACACACAGCGGCCCAGCGCTGGATCCAGTTACCCTTATGTAGACGTCCTGATAGGGGACTTAACCAACCACAGAGTCACACAGTTACAGCTGGAACAGGTAACACACATTGAACACCATGAGAACAGTGTAAAAGTATGAATGAGTGGTTTATGAGCATATATGTTGTTTGCAGGGTCTGGAGCTGTGTCGGGTTATCGCCATGCACATTGAGAATATGCTCTCTGTCCGAGAGAAGAGGCTGACGCTGCCACCCAGTGAAATCACCATGCTGTAACAAAACCATATCCAGATACACACAGTCTGTATACGAACAAATACTATGCTTTCTGTATGTTTATTTTCTATGATCGGGTTTTTTTCAATTCACTGATTGTCTCATCATGACTAAACCAAACCTCTTAATGCACTGTTTGCACTAATCATGTGTATTTGTTCACATGTTATGTATAGAAGACACACACTGAATAAAAAGCATTATTTTTGTATTAAATGCATAATATTTATACAGATGGAGTACTGTAGATGTGAAAGTATTGAAATGTTTTATATGAAACGTTTACCACATGCACATAAGTTTGAATGAAGAGAGATGTCACTCAGGAGAACAGCATGAATGTAATCTTTTTTCAATCACATTCTCTCACACAGACTTACAATGAAATGATGGTTTTCAAAGTAAAACATTGTATATTTAGCTATTAGTTAACATACGAGACCAAGGTCATTATATTTGTATTAATTTTTCTACAATTTTCTTAATAAATGTATTGATTGAAACCTAAGTTAATAAGTTTGTCTACTGTAATTGTCTATAACTTTCACAGTGGTTTGGAGAAACTGGAATATGAATATCACCTCTGAGATCTAAGATCTAATAAATGAATATAATTCAAATACAGCAAACTGTTAACTGTATAAGCTGCTTGTTTTTCAATTTAGTTTTTTTTTTCATTCTGAGAAATGAGATTATTAAGAAACCCCTTCGTATCTGAGGCATGGGACGTCATGATTTCTTGTAAATTATGGGGTTTTAACTGGCTTGCAAAATTTGCACATCAATTATTATTACATAATCTTTTTTAATGCCAAAATCATTTTAGAGTAGTTAACCAATTCAAAACAAAAATGAACATGACATTAACCATGACTAAAAATGTATTTTTGAAAAAAAATAAATCATCAAGAATAGAGCTAAAAACATTTCTAAATGCATAAAAATGGATGAAAAAAAAAATAAACCAACAATAAACCTTTCGTATGGATAATATACACTTATTATAGTTATTGAGGTGACGTTTAAAAATAGTTTTGTTATAATAGAAAATTCTAGGTTTTATAAAAGTTGATATCTAACAACATTTTTATTAATACATACTAATTACAAACTTATTATAAAATTATTATTCAAAATAATGATAAAAATGCAATCATGTCTGTTTAATAATAATAATAATTAGTGCTGTCAAACGATTAATCACGATTAATTGCATCCAAAATAAAAGTGTTTTACTTAATATACGTGTGCGTACTGTGTATATTTATTATGTATATATAACACACACACACGCATATATATATAGAAAATATTTACATGTATTACATGCATATATGAATATTCATATTATTTATAAATATATTTAATATATAGGCCTGGGCAGGAGCGGCTGTACTCCAGAGGCGAGGTGGACGAGATACCGGACTGGGTGCACGAGCTGGTCGTCGATCGCCTCGTGACGCACGGCGTCATACCGGAGGGCTTCGTTAATAGCGCCGTGATCAATGACTACCAGCCCGGGGGCTGCATCGTGTCGCACGTGGACCCCATCCACATCTTCGAGCGGCCGATAGTGTCGGTGTCGTTCTTCAGCGACAGCGCGCTCTGCTTCGGCTGCAAGTTCCAGTTCAAGCCCATCCGTGTGTCCGAGCCGGTGCTCTACCTGCCCGTCGGGCGCGGCAGCGTCACCGTCCTCAGGTCGGTACTAGTGCGGACACTGCTTTGTCTCAGTTCATTTCCAGAACATGCTGTTTCTATGGGATTCTTTTAAACCAGGGCTGTCCAAACTCGGTCCAGGAGGGCCGGTGTCCTGCAGAGTTTAGCTCTGACTGGAAGTTTCTATGCCTAGTAAGAACTTGATTAGCTGGTTCAGGTGTGTTTAATTGGGGTTGGAGCTAAACTCTGCAGGACACCGGCCCTCCAGGACCCAGTTTGGACAGCCCTGGTTTAAACACCATGTATATAGCCTTACCAAAAAGTGGCTGTACGGTAATAGTAATACTATGGTATTTTGAAATGTATCCTGGTGCCATACTACTATTGCGGTGCATGCCCAAAATCCCATCAAAGTACAGTTTTGCAAGTTGAGTTGTATGTGTGATATGGTATAACAATGATACCTTGATTTATGCTATGGTGCCCTCCCTGTAATTATCATATTCATATACTATGGTTTTTATATGTTACTTCAAAAGATAAATATGGCACAAAAAAGTACCATGATTTATTATTTACCATATTATTTTACGTGCTGTGGTTCAAGTATTATTTTAGTAGCACTGAGATACTATTATTTATAAATTTTGTTGATAAGTTTCCATTTTAATATTTTCCGTTTTCATTTTAAAGTTGTGGAAATTTTTATTGGATGTTTTAAATATCTTTGTAGTTTTCTTTTCATTCTTTTTATTTCAGTTCTAGTAATTTTAGTGCATCAAGTTAAACTAATATAACTGAATATAAGAAATGATGCCTTGGAAACTAGCTTAAATAACTTTAAAATGTAATATTGTTATATATTATTTCACTCAATGCTTAATTTTAAGAAACAAAAATGGTGTTTTATGGATTTATTTAACTGTGATAACCCCGTGTTCATGCCATGGTGTTCTTGGAAATATCATGCAAACAATATTGTACATAAATTTCAGTAACATGGTATATTTCAATATACTTTAGTATTGCAACCACTGTACCATGATACTGCCACAATAATTTAAGGCATTACCATCTTGGTAAAGTCCAAAAACCATGTTTTTACCATAGTTTCAGCTGTAGCCCTTTAACTTATTTAGTAAAATATTTAATCCTTTTTAATAAGCATAAAGCATTTCATTTTAAAAATGTATTATTTCAATTTTTTGATTTATTAACTTTTCATTGTAAGCTATAATCTAAAAACATATTATTTTGTGCTTTGTAATTGTGCTAAATGTTATCAAATATAGTTCTTGCTCGTGCTCACTGCTTTGATTGGCTTTAGTGGCTATGCAGCCGATGACATCACGCACTGCATCCGCCCACAGGACATCAAGGAGAGGAGAGCTGTCATCATTCTGAGAAAGTGAGTTCTCTGGTTTCGAGTCAGAGTTGTTCTTGAAAGGTCTGGAGGCATGTGTGGGGGTGTACACTGCTCTGATATCCGCTCTTTCTTTACTGTAGAACGAGGCCGGATGCCCCTCGTTTGAACTCCAGTTCACTGAGCCCATCCATCCACTCTTCTGAGAGACGACACATACTCAAAGCCAAACGCTCACACCGCAAGGCCGACCCAGATGCTGCACACAGGTACTTGCAAAGCCTTTCATACCACATTCAGATCTGCCTCTATCAAATCAACAAGTCCACACCCTACATATTTTTATCTTTTTTTATTTCACTCTGATGTACGTCAATACAGATCTGTCACTACCTTTTGTTTTATCGTACTGTTAAGTAAACTTTGGTATGTAACACTCCCCTCTCTGTTTGTGCTGTAGACATAAGTAATAGCTAAAATAGCGTGGCTTGTTAAGGAGAGTTGAACACGGACTTCTTCCGGCAATCTGGCTGGATTTTCTACAGTTTCTTCAGATTTTCTTCATAAATTAGAAAAACCTAGTTTCTAATATTTAAGGTGAAACAAAAGTTAATTTATTGACCTAAAATAGTTTTGCAACTACAGCAAATATGACAAATGTTTATGAAGTAAAGATTAGTCTGGAAAAGCTGTTTTGTTCTACATAGACCACCCTAATGCTGGCCGCTATCTTGAGATCACATGACCATTATACTCAGTAGGGGTGGAACGGTTCGTGGAAAAAAATAGAACCGTGCAGTTCTCCACACACGGTTCGGCACGCACTAGGACCGCAGTTCAACTTAAATCTGACAATGCATCTGTAATATGGTTTGCTATAAATAACACGTAAAACAAACGGTTCGGCTAATGTATGTTTCTGTTGATGGATGCGCATTCTGGCTTCCCAATACATTATAACAACAGCGATGGAAGAAAAAAAAGTGGACAAACCATTCACTCTTGTTCAATGCGAATGCCTTATGCTGGAATATGAGCAGTCGTTTATTCCGTCATCACCCGGGTGCTGATAGTGTGCACGCGCACAGGTGTAACCTGAACAGCACACGTTGATATCTGCGTTTAAACTAAACTCATTTATTAAACCTTGCCAGTTTAAACATTTAAGAGCCAGAGGATGCGAGCTTGCACGCGCAGTGAGAATATTTGTGCGTGCACTCATCCGAAGCGCGCAAACCTGCGCCTCAGAACGCACGCAAATATTAAGCTCTCTCTGAAGTATTGTTTAAATAGACAAATTCACACAAATTATGTCAAAATGCCCGTCTTGATAAGTATCCTATAGCAGACATAGCCGGCTAAACACACTTACAGTGTCTTAAGGCGCTTTTCCACTGCATGGCACGATACGGCTCGGTACGGTTCACTTTTGGGGGGTTTTCCACTGGGTACAGTACCTGGTACTTTTTTTAGTATCACTTCGGTTGGGGTTCCAAGTGAACCGTACCGTTACCAAAACGTGACGTGTAAACTTTGCTGATCACGGATTGGCCGGAGAGAATCGTCACTACCTGCGTCACTGAACTTGCGACACAAACACAAAAGAACCGCTAGATTTAAATCAGCACAGCCAGCGACGGATCGAATGCAACGAGCACACAGTTTTGAACGAGCGCACCTTTTTTTTTTAACAACCAAAAAGTTTTGTTGTCTGTTGCGGAAGAACAGACGTTCCTCTCGTTGATAGCAGAGGAGTGGATCCAGTGAGAGCTTGATGGGGCGACGTGGAATGAAAAAGTTGTTTTTAGGAGTCGTGATAGTAGAGGCGGCACAACTATAACGGCATGTGAATAATCCCGCCCACTCTAAAGCGGTATTGAACTGCAGTGGAAACGCAAGCCGAGCCGAACCGTGCCGTTCTGAGCTGTGCCGAGCCGAGTCGTACCACGCAGTGGAAAAGCGCCATTAATGTGACAGCACTTTCTTAATATTAGTCAAACAGCAACAACACAGAAATCACTCACTGCTCTTGATTGAATAGCTTTTGTGACTTTAATAAAAATCTTTAATTTATACAGTCAAATATGCAATGATGTTTTACATTTCATTACTTTATATTCAATTTCTGTACCTAAAAACTAATCTTAGACCTACCTAAAGAAAAACTGAAAATCACTGTTTATTTTATTTGTATCATTACTCTATTGTATTTATTTGTGCTGTTGCTTGTAGTTAGATTATTCTTATTTTCTTTATTTTTATTTGACAGTATAGTTTTTCCCTAAACATAGCACATACTGAACCATACCGAAACCGTGACTCTAAAACCGTGATACAAACCGAACCGTGAGTAAGTTGAACCGTGCCACCCCTAATTCTCAGTCTCTGTACTACTATCTTATTAATCCTTATTATTCATTTTATTCAGCAAGGACACATTAAAGTGATCAAAATTGGCAGTTAATATTCCTATTTTAAATAAATGATGTTGCTTTGAACTCTTTATTTATCAAAGCATTTGGGGAAAAATGGATCACAGTTTACCCAAAAAATATTTTCAACTGATAATAAAAAGACATGTTTCTTGAGGAGCAAATCAGCATATTAGAATGATTTCTGAAGGATCATGTGACACTGAAGACTAGAGTAGTGATGCTAAAAATTCAGCTTTGCATCATAGGAATAAATTACATTTTAAAATATATTTATTTTTTATTTTAAATTGTAATAATATTTCAGAATATTATTGATTTCACTGTATTTTTGATCAAATAAATGCATCCCCGGACGAGCATTTGAGACTTATTTTAAAAGCATTAGACATCTACCAACCCCCAATTTTTTTATTAAGAGTGTACTGTATTTCTAGTCTTATCAGTCAGCAGAACCTTTACGCTGGGGTCACTATGAACTGTCATTAAAAATAGAGCTGCGTTAAGATCCTTTTTGTGTTCCATGGAATAAAAGTAACAGCATACATGATTGGAACGACGTGAGGGTGAGTAAATGATGACAGAATTTCCATTTCTGCTTGAACTTGTCCTTTTAAAGGGGACATCAGATGCCCATTTTCCACAAGTTGTTATGATTCGTTAGGGTCATGAAAAGTCTATTACATCAGATAAAATTTCTCAATGGTAGTGTAAAACAGCACCCTTTTTACCTTGTCAAAAACAGCTCTGTTCACAGTGAGCCGTTTCAGTGCATGTCCCTTTAAAAATGCTAATGAGCTCTGCTCACCCCGCCTCTCTCTTCTGTGCGGTGACGAACCTTTCTCTGAGACTGTAAACTTTAACCACTTTCATTGTGGAACTTGCTAACTAGCACATTATTAGGAAAGACGATTTGCAAAGATTCGCTAGTTCACTTATACTGGTTCACCTACAATGATTCGCACAAACATAAATGCATTTAGGCAGATCAGGGGGCGCATTCCCTTCAAAAGCAAAAGTACTCCACTGCGGCTCAGATGTCGGGAGTAAATGACAACTGCTATGTTCATTATTACATCCAACAACAGAACACCTCACTCGCAATCCACACAAACAGTTTGCTAATAGCTTTTTTCTTTTTCTCTTATAGGCCTCGTATTTTAGAGATGGACAAAGAGCTGCAGAGGCGTTCCCTCTCTTCCCGACAGAGACGTCACGATGGAGACAGTTCAGAGAACTCATGGAGGAGAGCTGACGAGAGAGAGCCGGGCTCACGCTACACACATGACCACGCACCCGCTCGACGAGTCAAAATGAGACGTCACTGAGACGCAGTCAGAACTCAATGCTGATCTTCTCAGACGCCTTCACGTTTGCTCGAGGGGACTGGAAGCCAACAGAGGGACTCAGTAAAAGAGATGCTTCCGGTGTGGGTGGATGCAAGGACATTAGGCAGCGGCTGCTTTACTTATTAAGAGGCTTTATCTATCTATTCAGACATATCATTCAAATCCACTATATTTTGTTCTGTGTGTTTAAAGGAAACGTATGGAATAAAAAGACATGTAAGCTGACTAGTTGAATTCAGTCATAATTTATCAGTTTGCACCCCAGTTAACTTCATGTGCCAGTGTCATGCATACATACATTCACATAACAATATAAAATAAAAATGTGTATTGGGTTTTTGAGAACTGCTCCTTTAAACATAAATATGGTTGATTTATTTTTATTTTTTTGGCTTTAAGAGTTTTGTTGGATACATTCTGGCAATCAAACTGTTTTTAAGTCAGAAAAAGCAAGGCAAATTTTATTCATGCTGATAGACTGACTAAAGTTAATAATATGATGATAAAATGTTTGATTTGCATACAGTGGCTTATCAGTGCATTTGCCTGTGCACGGTTGCTTTACTAACAAAGACAAGATCAAATCTAAGGCCTAGAATCTTTGATATGCTTGACATGCACAATAGTTTCTAAAATGGGATAAAATGTTACATTAGTCATCTCTTCATTTGAATGTTGTTCTTTCTGTTCTCAATGCTTATTTCTTTTTCTCCCCCATTTAAGGGTGGTGTTGCCATTATATTAACTTCTGATTTGTCAACCATGGTGTATTTGTTTTGGCTCTTTATATCTGAAGGAAAGAGTTAATTCATGCTGACATTAGAGACCTGCATAAGGCACTCATAATGACAACAGTTTGTGTTTTATTGATTTATTTGTTTCTGAGGTTGAATGGAAGTGCAGAAAATGTAGAAGAAAGATGATAGTGTCTTTCCCATTGCAGGTGTTTAACAGAAAGTGCATTTGACTGCACGAGACTATATATGCTTTGTATTTAAAAGGCTGACATATGAGACTATTTTTGTTTAAATCAAATGAGTAGATTAGACTGCATAAAAGATTAAAGGGAGATGTTCTGTGTGTTCTTGGAAGATTCTATGTTCGTTCTTTATTTCTATTGAAATTGAGATTATTCATATCTGTTGTATTTCATAGCTAACTTTTAAATACCAAAACAATCTCATCCAATCTTTCCTAAAACTCCTTTATTACATATTACTTTTTAAGAAAGTTTGTTTTTCTTTAGTTCAGTTTGCATTGTCCATTAATATGGAATAGGAACATAATTTTCTGTCCACATTTATTTTAACATGCATAAAAAAGGTTTACATTCTTGCTCTATTTATAATTTGCACTATGCATTGTTTTATTCAGTTCAGGGGGGAAAATGCAGATATTTAGTGTGGCTGGATCTCTGTGCCACTATGCCATCTTGAATTGTTGGATAAACTTTACCTCAATGTACCCACTGTTTACCCAATAAATGCCCCACAGGTTATTTCTTCAAGCAATGGTTGTGAGTGGAAAGAGTGGTGATTGTCCACTACTAGATGGTATAAGAGAATTCTCCACCAGATTTTTTTTATTGAAAACTATATTAGGTTGATTACAACGTTGCTTGTGGCTAGTTATTGTTTTACATATACATTTTGGGGGAGACGTTACTGTTTTCAGTTCGTAGAAGGGTGATAAACAGCACCAAATGTTTAACCAATGTAGTCATAATGAAGCTATGTAAGTAATATATAATCTCGTGTACATATAAAGAAATCAGTAATAAAAATGTAACACTTTTATTAAATAAACGGGATAATATGGAATATATTTTAAATCATTCATTAGCACAAAATAGAATCAAGTACTAATGTACAAATTATTTTATTTAGGGTTCTTTGTTTCGCCATACAAATTAAACAACATTTATTATGTTTTTAATATTAGGTTGATTACAACGTTGCTTGTGGCTAGTTATTGTTTTACATATAAATTTTGGGGGATACGTTACTGTTTTCAGTTCGTAGAAGGGTGATAAACAGCACCAAATGTTTAACCAATGTAGTCATAATGAAGCTATGTAAGTAATATATAATCTCGTTTACATATAAAGAAATAAGTAATACAAATTTAACACTTTTATTAAATAAACTGGATAATATGGAATATATTTTAAATCATTCATTAGCACAAAATAGAATCAAGTACTAATGTACAAATTATTTTATTTAGGGTTCTTTGTTTCGCCATACAAATTAAACAACATTTATTATGTTTTTCAGAAAAATGTACATTCGTTTGCATTACACGAGCAATACAATAACTAAGCGTCACAGTATAAGAAAATATAACACGCAAAATAACTTATGAAAAATCGTACAATATGTAGCCACCCCGTTAAATTAATTGTTATAAAATATATGCTTTTTCATTTTTGTCCATGCATAGAAATTCCATAGAAACACAACAACGCTCTTTCACCGTGAAGTTGTGACGTATGGAGATACTGTCATCTCATTGGTCCATATGTACGTCAATCCGCGGGATAGTGACGTATGAGGTGTTTGTTATAGGTGAGAGCGCAAGTGTGTGCTAGACAAACTGACTAGATTTGATACTCTACTGTAATGGCTCTGAATTGACACTACCTTATAAAGGTAAGTTAACTGTTTAACTCGTGATTAGGCCTATAAACTGTTAGTTGTGTAACATCAATACGCGTGTTAGTTTTCTGCGTTCGACAGCTGGTGAAGTTAGCAAACGCTAATAACAAAGCGAAGCGCTATTGTTTAACTCTTAACTACAGGAATTAATTTTTCGAATATTTGGTGGTTTAATGTCATATTTAGCAAGGGAAAACGTCATGTATTGATATACGTGTTAAACAGCGCGTCTGTAAACGTGGCAGATTTAAACCATTGATAGTGTTAAACAGTTCTGCATAGCTTTACGTTAACGTTAGCTGTCTTATCTGAAAACACAATTAATGTTATCTAGGCTTTAAAGTCCATCTGGATGCAGGCCTCCTGTCACTTAATGTGTACTAACTTAATGTGTATTTGACTGTTTATCCAATAACCATATAAAGATTGTAGACTTCTTTTTTTGTAGTCTGTGAGCTGGCCAAGAACTTGCTGTGCTTTTTGGAAAATACCTTTGGAATGTAGTTCTTGGCCAGCAACTGTAAATCTGTAAATCCTTTTGGAATAAAAAAATATTAAGCCTAAAAGGTATTTATGAGATACTGTATTCACCCATGTCTTACTAGTGTAACCTGTAGATCACAGATGGAAACTGTACTCTAAGTCAGGATCACAAAATTATCATATGAATAAGTGGAGAGTTACATGGGTCTAATTTTAGACCTGGTAAAGCCCCCTCCTGGGTCTGAGTTCATGAAAATCCATGGCTATTTCTGAGAGAGTGAGAGAGTTAGAGAGAGGGGGAGTGAGTGTGTGAGAGAGAGAGAGAGAGAGGGAGAGAGGGAGAGTGAGTGAGTGAGTGAGTGTGAGGGAGAGAGAGGGAGAGAGAGGGAGAGTGAGTGAGTGAGTGAGTGAGTGTGAGAGAGAGAGAGGGAGAGAGGGAGAGGTGAGGCTTCAGTCGCCTGGTCTGTCACGTAGCACATGTGAGAACTGTGTCTTAACCTTCATGACAGCGTACTGTGATGGTACATTAATCATATCAGATGGTTAAATCAATAATAGCACTTTAATTTATAGTACTGTGATACTGATGACTACTATTTATGGTACACAAATGGTATTCTTAGTACCATAATTATATCATGATATATGTCTAAAAACTGTGATGTATGAGGAAGTGCATGTGAAATCAAATGGTCATGTAATTCTCTATTGATATCTCCAGACACTCACAGAGGACGTGATGTATTATTCGAGTAAAAGGCGAGGAGAAGATGGAATTGCTGCTGTCATTGACTTCCTCTTGTCCAATGCCCGGCTGGTGCTGGGGGTCGGCGGAGCTGTGGTGCTGGGCATTGCCACATTAGCTGTGAAACGGGTGATTATTCATTTTAGCGTATTACACACCACAAAGTTCTGAGTGGTTGATATAGTTTTGTTTATAGAGTGCAACAGTGTTAATGAGGGAAAGAACTACAATTACACTGCACTAGCATTATGAGCAACATTAAAAGTAAAAGCAATGGATAAACATAAAACCATGTTCATATATATATATATATATATATATATATTAGTGCTGTCAAACGATTAATCGCATCCAAAATAAAAAATTGTTTACATAATATATGCGTGTGTACTGTGTATATTTATTATGTATATATAAATACACGCACATACAGTTGAAAATATGAAAATATGTACATGTATATATTTATATTGTATATAAATATATTTAATATATAAACATATTTTTCTGAAATATATATATATATATACACACACATATACAGTAGTCAACATTTGAAGTGGATCAAAACCTTTAATCAAAGTTGTCCTAAAACCTAAAATCAAAATGCATTCTTTCACTTGGATGAAATGTTTTGATCCACTTCAAATGTTGACTACTGTATATATGTGTGTGTGTGTGCGTGTGTGCGCGTATGTACAAATATTTACATAGGAAAACTGACTCCACATCATTTGTAGTGCTTTATCGGTGTAGGCAGGTGCTTCAGAGTTTTTTGCCTAAATTAGTTTGTTTAGATTCTCTGTTTGGGGGAGATTTCTTTGCAGAATTATGGGTAATGTCATTTTCACCAGGATTGCAGCTGTTAAACATGATTATTTAAAACATAAGTTGAAACAATGCAGGCTGATGGCTTCCACGAAAGTATATACCACTGATTACTGTGAACCTCATAGCTCTCATAGTGTTTATAAATTATCCTTAAATCAATTCCAGTTGAGAAAATGAATGTAATTTTTGCTTCTAGAACCTAACTGATACACGCTATTAGAGCTTATTTTGATTACTTGTTAATTTGTTGTGTCCTATATTTGCTCTACCTGTGATGTTGTAGCTGATAGAGCGTGCCGGTAGGCCTCCTGATGAGAAGCCTGACAAGAAGATGACGGACAGCTGGGAGGAGTTAGGCTTGGTCAGTGCCTCCCCCAAACTACTGCACAAGGGTATAGAAGGAGTGGTCATGAAACAGATTGCTGCCGCAACCAAGAAAGGTACATACTTGGGAAATACCTTGGTTTGGATGACTTAAAGTTTCTTGTTGCTAAAAGGCAATTAATTAAAAGTGACCCTTATTCTGCACAATTCATCAGTGCATGCTAGTACAGGCAGAACTCCACCTCTCAAACTGGTCAATGTTAACCAGAAGTCAAATTATTTTACTATTACTATTTATCAAATTATTACTATTAATGAAATAGAATAGAATTGAATATAATGTACATTGTCCCATTTTGGGAAAATTGTCTTACTTGGGCTTTAATGTTGTCACTGAACATCCCGTTTCATCATGTTATGGAAGTAAACTGAGTTGTGAATGCTGTTTTCAGTAAAAACCCTTTTTTTGTGTTTAGCGGAGCTGTCCCAACCCATCCCCCTGCCCTCACCTGAGCCCCAGCGCTGTGACACTGAACCACTTCAGCGACGGAAACGCATGGATCTGTGTGTGATGACGTTTGTGGAGCGTCTGCAGCAGTACTACAGAACACGAGTGTGTCTGTCAGCGGAGGAGGTGTCTGTCGCACAGCAGCGAGCGTTAGATATAGGCACAGAGATCCAGGCCTTCCTGCACTCCAAACACCCAGACATGCCGCTGGGAGACATGACGCTGGCGGGGTCACTGCTCGACGACCTGCAAGTGGTAAAAGCCGACCACACCTGTCTGATCGTGCCCCTACAGGTATCGAGATTCTTTGTGGGCCACTTGTTTACTTGCACGTGTAAAAAAAAAAATGTCCTGACTATACAATAGTTCCTATCATGTACATCTCAAAGACCCATAGAGATCCATGATATCCAGAGCTAGCCTGCAGTTTTTTTTTTACAGATAATGTATGTTGTTTGTTCTTCAGAATTCCTGGGTCATGCAGATTTCAGCAGATATTATATTATATTTATTATAATACAATATAAATGAAATATAATATAA